TCTACATTTTTTATTTAGTACAAGCCAACAACATTTAAAAGTCATCTCAAGTCTGACTCTAAAAAACATGTGTGAAGTAACAGCAATGACAAATGGCTTCTAGAGTGTCTTAACCATAAGTTATTGTTTCTTGTCAGTGTGTTGGAAGCTTTAGTGATCCTCATAAAGAAACGACTGTCGTGTCTGTTCAACACTCAATGGATGAGTTCACAAAGTCCAAATCTTCCATATCATCCACTTTCACAGAAACTGTAGCAGTCAAACCAGAAGGAAATTTCACCTCTACAGCAGTCTTAAGGATAAAAGTAAATTTCATTTTATTCCAGCCTCTACAACCATCTGTCCCTACAGGTATATATTTTGCTTTGCATTGTTATTTAATAGCATTGCATACCGGAGTCTCATCTCAGCAATAAAACTATCAAGTTGTAGAGAGCAGAATGTTTGGATTACTTTGCTGGTCTCTCTCAAAATGCCTGGCTTAGCACTGGCACATCCTGAGTTCAAAAGCAACCGCTGTATTAAATGGGGGGTTGGCCTTCTGGCTGCTGTTTCAAAATTATGCTTTATGGGAACAACCCAGCCACGTCTGTTCATTTATTTATTCTCTGTGGCTGTTTTCATGCTGCAACTACAGAGTCAAGTAACTGCAGCAGAGACTGCCTGACCTGCAAAGTTTAAAATATTTACTAGCAGGCCTTTTAATAGCAAAGGTTTGCCAATCTCTCTAATGAAAACGTATCCACTCACCTTTAGTGAGTGAATGAAGGGAAAGCACATATATAATGAGTTTCCTTATTTCCTTTTACTATTCAAAGTAAAGTGTTCTTAAAAAAAAAAAAACAGCTGGTTTGGTAAGCAATTCAATCCTCTTCCATCTTGGAGTTGCTTACTATTATAGCCTTGAAGGAAGCTTTTTATTTTTTAATCTAAGCACTTCTGGATATCAAAGATTTGGCTCTCCATACTGGTCAATCTGGTAGATTTCATTGTCACTGATGTGGCATGTAATTTAATATGTCACCACATATTTTAGTAATTGTTTTTAATAATGTTTGGTGGTTTAAAAAAAAAAACCCTCACAGTTCCATTAATATTACAGAATGGGCTATTTCACAATTCAAAGGAAAAGGATCAGGATTAAGAACAAGAGTTCAATTCTGGCCAAAGACCACATGGCCAAGGCATTAAAGTAGGACACAGGTAAGACAGGCTGCAGTGACTGGTAACGCTGGGGTTAAAGCTGTCCCTTCCTTGCAAAGGCTACACAGGGAGTGACCTACAGTTTACAGATCCTGGTATTCTGCAGCAACAGGCTAAGAACCTAGGGGTGGGAGTTTGGCCTGATCTGATAGACTCCAATTCTTTTTTTTATCCTCTGGAAGTGCACTAGACTATTCTATGGTATCTGGATTGCTTTGAGGTGATGACAAATTCACCTTTCCCCTTCCTCAATCCTGTATGGGGAAAGAACTCCACCTCTGCCATAAACATGAGCCTAAGGTCATAAACATGATCCCAAGGCACAAGTAAGCAGTGCAGCAAGCATACAGGGCATCTCCACAGATGCATGTTTTCTAGCATAGGCTTAGAGAGAAAATGGTGAATAGTGTACTTCTAGCCTAGGGGTTTTCTGTTCATGCTCTGCTCACATTAAGATGGAAAAACAATGAGACCTCACATCTTAGTCAGAATAGCAATAGCCATACCTCCCTTTTCTCACCAGTATCGAGAGCGAGGATAATGGCCTAACAAATTTAATTTCATAGATATCTGTGGAGAATTGGAGGCCACTGACATCTTTACAATCCAACAGCCTCCCTTTGGTAGTACACATACCTGTTTATAGCCTACTTATATTTCTGGGTCAGAGATGGAAAAAAAAATAATAGTCTAGAACAGTAGTTCTCCACCAAGGGAGATTTTGTCACCTACCTGCCTCAGGCACATTTAGCAATGTCTGGAGACATTTTTAGTTATTGCAGCTTGATAATGGCATATGGGGACTGGGACCAGGGGTGCTGTTAAATATCCTACATGCAGAGGACACTCACAGCAATGAATTATCCAGACCAAAGTGTCAATCATGCTGAGGCTTGGAAATTCCGGTCTGGATATTATCTGCATCACATTTCAGCAAAAATGAAGGAACCAGAGATAGATCACCCTTTGGCCAGATCCCCACAGGGCAATCAACTGACTAAAAACTGACACAATAATCTTTGTGAGATTCAATGCTATTAAGGATTGATCTGTTTGCCTTTTGAGAAGCAATCTGAAGGGGCCAATACTAGAAGAGATGATCATAACTCAAAATTTAAACATAGTAAAAAAATATGTAATAATTCTCTTTATAAACTGCATCATACAGACTGAATACAGAACTTTTCTACTGTCCTAGACTCAAAGAGGCAGATATCAAATTAATATTGGAAAATTAAATCTCACAAGATTCTTTATCCCAAATGGACAGGATTTCTTTAAAGGATTTTAGTCCATATGTTTTATAAGTAAAATAATAGCTCTCAGTCTCATGTCTCTATCTCTTTTATATTTGTGATTTCAACACTTACTTATGAGAACAACAAAAAACTCAAAGCAAATCTGTGTTCCTAAAATTGCAATGCTTCTCAATATCGTTTTTTTTTTCTGACAAAAAAATTAAAATCTACAAATGCCCGATTACAGTAATAAGAAGTCTTGACAGGAAAATTATCACATTTATAACGTAGACCCATCATACACTTTTTCCATTAAGTATAATCTCGGTTCAACTGAAGAGCTTTTCCTGCCTCATTTTCACATTTAGTTTTTGACTAGAAGCAGCTCAAGAATGAGCAACCTGTAAAACCAATCACCTCTTGCAGAAATGTCGTCCAATTAGCCCAGGCTGGTGAAGGGGCAAAGTCTAAGCCCAAGTTGCCCAACAGAACCAGCGGTGGTCACCGTCCAGTTCACTTTCTCTGAATCAAGTCTGCTATCTACATTTGACCTCTATATGACCGTGGTTATTTTCAATTCAAATGTGCAGCTTTGCTATAAATAAGATTGCCTAGCTACACAGCCTATAAATAACTATAAATTATATGGTTTTCTCCTGTCTGTTTGCACTAGCCCTGCAGAACCCTTCACCTGCTGTGATTGAAGAGGCTCCATAGGTAGTCATGAAAATATAACCGACAAAAATCACTTCATCCTCCTAGAACGGAAGGTGTCAGAATCCTACAGACAGTGCAATCAGATGGAGAAAATAACTGGGGAAGAGAAAACTACAAAAGAGACTTTCAATATCTGGAAGAGTGGACGAAAATGAAGTCATTACGTATACTTCATGAAAATAAATGAATCAAATGATGATGTTCATTTCTATCAGTTCATTAAAATGAAAAATACCATTCTTTTATATACTGAAACGATATAAAATGAAACTTAAGGGTAAAATCACCTTTATTTTTAAAAAGAGTGGGAAATACTTGTAATTTACCGGTGCATGCTACCTATAATCATGGCATTTAGGATAAAATGTTAATATTCTTCATCCTCTTTTTGTTATTTTCTGCATTCTTAAAATGTCCTTTCCGAACCTCAGATGTAATTGTCTAACCTAGAAAACAATGTCAGAACCAAATGCTTAGCCATTTGGTATGGAGCACAGCCAAAACGTTGTTTTGGTTTCAAACCTTGTCCTCCCATGCTTGATGGCTCTACATAAGTCACTAAGCTCTTTAAGTCTCATTTTCTCATATGTACAAAGGAAATGAAGAAAATGTCCACAAAGTGGCCCAGAGAAACACAAATAATCTGTGAAAAAACTTGGCACACTGCAACATGTCATGCAAATCAGTATATTATCAATAATACAGTGTAATATTGGGAGATTTCTTTCTAGTTCTTCTATGTCTACCTACTTGCCAGATTTTTAGTGTTCTTACAGAAAAAAAAATGTTTTTATTTCCACAACAGTATAGAAATAGGCTTACCATGTAGGAAAAACTATATCCTCCAAAAGTTATATACTATCTGAGCCAATATGAATACCTTATGGAAGCCACTAGAAACCTTTATAGTTTAGGATAAAATCTTTTGCAAAGTATGTAATTCTCCATCTATAATTTCTCTTTTTAAAGAAATAATTGGTTCCATCAGTTTTGAGGCTAGGATTTTGTTTTTCCAGGATAATGTTAATAAAGATAATTTTAATTAAAAAATATCTAAGTCACAACTGAAATCATGTCTCGTGGCAAATCAAAAGGCCTTGAGCTGGCTAAATCTATTGCTGGATGTAATCCAAATTTGAAAATAAGTACTGGTGTATTTGTCACATTTTTAAACCAAGTTAGACTGACATGACAACTAAAATAATCAGAAAACATAAGACATTGTAAGGCGCTCAGTGGTTGGCTGATACAACATTCCTTTATAGGAAACTCTTTTTCTACTTCTTAAAATCATAAGTGAAGCACCTCTGACCCACCACTGTGCATTCTGGAACGAGAGGAAGCAATGGTCCTGAAATCTGTGTGACCTTTCACCTCCTAGGTTGTCTTATCACATATATCATTGGATCGTAGGTGCACAAATTAGTCTGTGTGTTATGATTAATAAATATTAGACATTTTTGGGGAAAACAAGTTATTAATGGATGTGATCTCTTATTAAATGACAACATCATAGCAGCTTTTAGGAAATAAAAGTGATGCCAAGTTGAACACGATAATCATGTTGCATATATGATATTTAACTGAACAGCACTAAATAGAAAGGAAATTGATCAAAGAGAATTAGCTTTGGTCCAGGCTCTCAGCCTGATATCTGAAGTTGTCTGCCAAAACAAGTGTTTTTGAAATCACAAGCAAGGCAATGGGACCACACACTTTATTATAAAAGACAGTGTTCAAGAAACACAAACCCATGCAAAGAAGGTGGTGGTGCTGCAGCTAGGATCCAGCCATGCAATGCTCTCCTCCCTCGCCCCTCCCCACAAGTGAACGACAACATACTTTTAACAGGATCTTGGGGGAGAGGTTCCCGAGTAGTCTTGAATAAACTTTGGGACACTATGGAAAAAAGAGAACATAACTAAAAACAAAAACAGAAACATGAGAAGGATGGCTAAAACTCACTCACACGATTCCACTGGCCCAAAGCAAAACAAACAAACAAAAGTAACATTAAATTAAAAGCAAAAAACTAAACAAGGAATCTAAGTAAACATATAAATAAACGTATGATCTATTTTCACCAGAGATGAACATCTGAGGATGCTGGACATTTGGTCTCTGATAGGACATCCCAAGTATCTATGAGAGGACTTTTTGCTTCTATTCTACTTTCCTTAGTGCCAAGTATCACTAATTCCCTTCTATTTGTTTCTCATAGCATCTCCATTCATTGGGCAGCTTTTGATAAGGCCTATTCTCCCTCTGTACCTGTCTGTCCATCTAACTGACCTTTAGCCCCTTGCTTTTTTTTTTTTTTTTTTTTTTTTGCAGAGATAGAGATAGAACCCAGAGCGTGGTGCATTCTAGGTAAGTGCTGCTCTATTGAGCTCCATCCCCACTTCTGCCATTTCTTTCTTGATACTTTTTCCGGTAGCCCACTCCCTTTAAGTTACTGTTTGCCTTGCTCAATATATCACCTTTGGGAAAGTCTACACTTTGCAAATCTCTCAAGAAAGTGTGTGCTTTCCAGGGCATCTCCCACCAACTTGTGGTGTCAACCGCCTCCATTCCAGCCTACAGTGAAAGGGAGGGCCAACGGGGAAGGTGAATTCAAATTCTTAATGCAAATTCATCACTGCTAATAATTAAAACAAACTTCTTCATTCACATATATATATACATTTTATATTTATATATTTTGATTTATTTTCCAGACTGGTTAATATAGGAGTCCAGAAAATAAATTTCCTTAGGGAAAGGAAGAAAAAGTTGGGAAACTTGCCAGGAAATCTCACCCAGCAGCTAAAGCATAAGAATCACTGTAACAAAAGCCCTTTGTTTCAAAGGCTCCAGGCAACAGAATCCCCCATTGTGCTCCAAATTACCTGACCTAATTAACTCCTTTGTTTGAAACTGGAGAAGAAAGTCTTTTGAGTCAGAAGCTGCAATCATCCAATCAGAGAGGAGAAAAGGGGGTTTGGGTTACTAGTTCCTCCACCTGTTCTTACAAAGGGTTGAAGAAGAACCACATGACAGGCCAGAAGATCAACAGGAACTTTCCCTAAGATCTCAGGTAAAATATTGGGCTCCTTCACAAGGGAAGGTCTTCATGGTGCATGCCCTTTTGTTGTTTTGCTTAATCCTATGATCTGGCTGGAAAATAATTTCTATAATCCCCAGGAATTCCAGGCAGGAAATGGTGGTTGTCACCCTTACAAAACAGGGGAATAAATGCAAGAGTCTCCCCCAGAACAAACACAATTATTGAATTTCAACATGATTTTTAACTTCTTCCTGTCAATGAACAAAAATAACCCCTCCCTCCCGTTGGGGAGTCCACCTTGCACTTAAGTCATCATGATGTCCCCATATATTTATTCCCCAGAGTTTTTGAAAATTATATTCCGAGCTTGATGTCTTTGAAAGTTTCTAATGTTAAGAGTTTTCTTCTGTTTCCAAGAAAAGGAATGAAAACTGGACATCGCAAATGCCTGCGTGCTGAGCCCAGGTTACCAGGGCCACTTCTGCCCTTGGTCATGTGAAGTGCACAAGCTCCACTCAATCACACTCCCTGGCCACCGCACCAGGCAAACATGCTGTGAAACAATTCAAAGGCGGTCATCACATCAGTACACCTTGTCCAGGCAACTGAAGCTTTGTCAGCCACTTCCAGGGGCAGACTGTCTTTGCACACGCAGTGCACATGCATAAACACGGACACACGGACAGAGACGTACAGGAAAGTATGCATTTGCAGAGAAGGCCACCCCAGCTCCGTTTTTAAAGAGAAGCACTTGAAAATCCCTCCAGATTGCAAGACGAATCTACTACAGATAGAACCAGAACACACCCAAGGCCATGCTTAATAATTATTAGAGATAGACAAGAGATGTGCTCATGATGGAACATACTGCAGAGACTGGGCAATTAGAGAACCGACAGAAATGTGTTAGTGGTTAGCAACAGGCCCATTCCCAAAGAACCAAGAAAATCAATCTGTTACAAAGAGCAGAGTCAGTGGCGAGAAAGGCGAAAGGTGGCCGGGCTGGAGGAGGGGTCCACTTACTGACGCTGCCACACACGGCCAGGCAGTACTCTTCAGAGTCAAAGTTGTTCCTGTTGCCGCCACATCCGCCGTAAAAGAAGGGGGCGCACTTCCCTTCAGTAACATCAAAGTACCAGCGGGAGATCATTGCTCGGCAGGGCCCGGTCTCGGCTTGTTCAGAGCACACCTCTAATCAGAGGAGATGTGGAACCACATTTAGCATGAAAAGGCATGTCGCTGTCCCCCTACACACGCTTACTCATGCATTCATCCTCCCTGTGTGACCTGGGCCAGGTGTCCTAGGC